CCGCCGATAAATCAGCGACGCGTTGCCACGAATTGGCAACGAATCAGCATAAATTAATATTGTCCTAGTGCTAAATATTTCTTTGAACAATTCTTACGGAGCAGCAGCGAGAAAATATACCTTGTTACCGAGATGGGAGCGTGTGAACGAATTCGTGCGAGTGTTTCGCAATTTTGGAAATTCGCTGCCAGAATATACACGAGCTACGTGGAAGATCAGCATCGTCGCGTGCATCTAAACGGAATATACCTATCTCTGTGCGCGATCGATCACTTCGATCGAGCAATCGAGCGTTTCATCCACCGATGTAGGGAACATCGTCGCGAAAGAAAAAGGTAAGAGAAAAGCTGGCCTTACGTATCTGTAATTAAAACAGGCACAAACTTTCGAGAAAGCTGCCTGTGGCGCGTATCGCGCCCACTCGTACGCAGCCACGCATACGCTTCTCCATGCGTACAGTATGCAAATGCATCGAGGTCGATCGGTCTGCCGAGTACCCGCAATGCAACCGGTAATTCACGCCGCATTACTTTCAAACTGCACGCCTTTTTTTGAGCCACTTCACTGTATCGCGAAACAGACGAATCGATCAGAAACCAAAACTGCCTTCGAAGTTTCACCTCGAGAATCGAAAGGGAAAACCGTAAAGAAACTTCCTTTTACACTATACACCAAAAACAAAAAAAAAAAACGATAACACTCACTCTTGTCTGAAATCGATTTGCGGATCGACCTGGATCGAGCCAGGGGTTAATTCGGTCGAACGATTCAGGATGGCTGGATCGTTCGTTTTCTTGGTCGGGCCCCACCGACGAAATTCGTATCGAGGCTCGAGCGGTTCTGCCGGAGCACGATGCCGAGCGGAGTGAAGCGAGCGAACGAGCTAGCGGCGCTCTCCGGCTATTTTCAGCCTCGAGCCGAGCCCGCGTTGCCTCTCCTCACGCTACGCGCCGCCGTTCCTCCGCGTTGCACGCAAAACACACCGTGTTGCTGTCGCTTCTCGCAACGACGGTGTCTTGCCTCGTCGTTTGAACGAATTACGAGCAAGTTCGATAATAAACAGGTTCGTCAAACGATCCTAAAAAGATAACGAAACTATCCTAAACAGATATTTAAACTAGTAGATATTATTTCGCGTATGACTCGTTTCTATACTTTTGGATGTCTCGTTTCGTGTTCTCGGAGTATATTTTATGTGCGTGTCTGAGAAACGTATGACTAACGTCGGTACAAGGAACGGCTGTTATTTATTATTGCAACATATGTAATTACAAGTTTCATTGAGTCGATGTTACAATTTTGCAATTGCCTCGTCGCTGTTGGCAATGTTTGCCAAATTCTCTTGTATCGAGAAATAGACTTGATTCAAGCGTACAGAGAATTCCGACAGTGGTCAGACGAAGCGTTTTCCATGAAATTACCCTTATAACGCACCACCGACAGAGAGTAAATTCTGGTGTATTGATCGCACTTGGTTGTTCCCGGCTGTTGGTATTCGTTCACGTGTCTCGTCAGCGGGTCTGCAGTGAATAAAGTAGAATAGGAATTTTTTAGCAGGATATATTTTTTAACGATTGCGTGACGTTAGATGGCGAGATTATTTAACGTTGTACTGTTTTTCTTTTTTTTTATTTTGAGTGGCTATTGTTTAGAAAGGATGTAAAAAGATTTTTCTGAAATTTATTTCTTACGATACTATTTTTTCGTCCATTGTTATTACCTACTTCACGTCGATAAAAATTAACGCGCGACGAACGTTAACAAGTTATAGATAGAAATTCAGTGCGATACAACGATATATCTTAACTTATGTTGACTACGATCTACGCGATCGAGATAGACGCTAGATCCGCGATAAATCTTCTACCCCTGTTTGTTTTATACGACCTCGGTGCTGAGCTACTGGTTGATTGACTTGCTTTGATCGATGGTTATCGCAGATTTATTGCTCGATAGAAGAGAACTTGTTAAAATTCTCACCGTGCGATAAATTCTTCCTGCACGATGTGAATTCGGTAGAAAGAAAAAGAAAAAAAGGAAGAAAGGAGAGTATAACGAAAGGTAACAGCGTGTATCGATGTTGACTATAGAAATTTCGTATAAAATAGAATTCACCGAGGTGTCACGCGATACGATTCACGGCTCTATGGTGTTACGCAGGAAAGCATGTGTCATTCCTTACACTGCACTTCGTCCTCTTTGCGTGTACCTTAAAATAGAACTATAGAGAAGCATCGAAGTAATCGAACGACGATATAACATTATTTCTATATTTGGAGCTTCACGGAAGGGTGTCTCTATAAATCACAGAGAAATCTCCCTTAGGACTCAAATTAAACAAACCTCAACCAAAATGGCATCCGCTCGAAGAAAGCACGATCCACGAAGACTCAAAATGTCAGTATCCAACCGTAAAATATCGTTGACAAATGGTCGATTCTTGGCCTTCTCGCGATTCTTCTCCGACCGAAGAGCAATAAGCCGCGCGTCAAACGCGAGGAATTATTGACTTTATCTGTCCCTATCCTAGCGCCCCCTCTTTATATCGTGTAGCGCGGCAAATACGCGGTGGCTTTTTATCGAATATGGCAAACTTACCTAGACAATAAATCGCCTTAACCTGACCCGAGTGATCCCTTTATTGCCGGGCCCTTCGAAACGAGGGAAGGTTTGGCCCGCTCACTCTTTCGTGCTTCTTCGCGCAAATAAATTTGCACCGGCCGACCTGTACGCGTTGGAATCTGCCGGGGGAGCGTAATTTATTTTCACCCGTCTGCACCGAAGGCAATTGCATCATTTATATACGGACGCCGGACCGCTAAGGGTGGAAATTTGAAATTAAAACCCTGCCGAGCCGCAGCAACGATGGAAACTTTTGTTACGAGGTGTTCGACATTTCTCGCGATTTCAAATTGAAAGTGTATAAGAAATTGAGCAGATCGATAGAAAACAGTCACATGCCACAAATGTCATAAATTTAGAAAGGAGGACAATTTTTAGGTGAAAGCTTTTCCAGAAAATGTATCGGATTGGAATCGCTTTAAATGTTAAATAAATGCCAACTATTCTCATACAATAATAAATTAATCTTTGATTTATTAGCTTTTGTCACTTTTAAATGTTGAATCAATTTGGCATATTTTATTGGCAAATAAATTTGGTAGTACAGTCGA